ATGTATATACATATTATATGCAAAATTTCTTGCCCTACTCTCTAAAATGTATGTTACTGATCTGCAGTCTGTAAATTTAAATTGAGGATGACATTACTTTGATTTTCTACTTATGTGTATTGAAATATCCACACTAATATCTTATAATCAGTTCTTAAGATCGTGCAAATTTTACAGACTAAAATTACACGTTGAGAAATCCCATTTACATAGGCTGACTTTGGGGAGAGGTGGCGCAGAGGTTTGAGAAGATGGGCCTGTGATCGGAATGTTGCAGAAAGTATTTAATGGTTCTAAAATAATCAATCAAAAGAAGGAATTAGTCCAGATCTTCTCCATATACATCTGAAATCCATATAGACCACACATAAAAATGTATTTTATTCAGTGTATTAACAAATCATATTTTACATCTCATAGGCAATGTTTTGTAACATCTGCTTCACAAACAACAGCATTATAAAAATAAAAGCACATGTAACATACATTGTGATCATGTTATATTGTTGTCTTCAAGAAATCTGCATCATACTGCATCTATTTATTTTATTCATTTAGAATTTTCTTACAAAATGTGAAGTGAACAAAAAAAAGATTATTGTTATATGCAAAGCTAAAAGCATCTAACTTATAAATGTAAATATTTCTTGCATGATCAGGTTAAAATGGACAAGAATGAAACCAAAACAAGCATGTTTGTTTACTTTGGCACATTGAAATTATTGTTATGAAGAAAACACAAGAAGAACAAAGTGAAATCATGCTGGTGCTGAAATGACTGTGAGAATATTACTTTGCTTGGATTGTATGCTTATTTTTATTTATTTTCTGTTTCAGCAAAGGCTTTTGATCATGTGTGACTGATTCCAATTTGTGCAATTTACAAACATCAACACATCGGTAAAATATCAGTGGCAGCAGAGTTTGAAGTTTACTTTAGGAACTGTCAAAGTTATTTTCATCAGAAAAGAAAAGAAATGAGGCAAATATGGTGAAACCCTACTCACTTCTAAGATGCTATACAAAGTTATAGGAAAAGCTGACCAAATAATCTCAGCTGTGCTGTTGAGATTCACAATGCCAGTTAAAAATGTCCCCAAACTGTTAATTGCACCACTTTAGAATATCTCTTAACCATCATGAAGCCTATGGGATAACTGCTCTATCAGTGCATCTGTGCACATGGCCACCTGCCCACCTATTAGCTACATAATTTGGTTGTCTCATATTCAACAGGGTTGGGCTGCTTGGCACTGAAAGTCTGCAGTGCTGCCTGGATCCTGGCAACATCTGTAGTTGACAGTTTGAGTCGGTGCCGCAGCAGACAGGAGAACAGATCCAGAGGCTGAGCTCCAGGTGGGGAAAGCCTGTTGACTCGGTCCCGGATCTCCAGCAGTTGCAGCAGGGCCGAGTCCTGTGATCCCTGAGTATACGGGTAGTCCAGCTGTAAAATCAAGTCCTGGATTGCCTCCGGGTCAAAGTGCATACTGTAGCCGTAAACCTGGATGCTGTTGATCTTCATGTAGCCCAGATTTTGTCCCGGTTCCAGGTACTCCAAAGGTTCAAAATAAACAGTTCCATTGCCGTTACTTGAAGTGCCCCTGATCCGGCTCCGCAGGTAAAAGTGAACCGTTTCAAAAAAGGTTTTCCACTTGTTCCCTAAAGACAAAGTCCAGTTATAACAATCATAGGGGAGGTCTAATTTAGTCCTCTCCCAGTCTGGGTAATTGTTCTGGTCAATGGGCATGATCCAACTCTCTGAGTGACTTCCTCCAAATGGATTGATGTAGACAGACAGCATGGGGTCGAGAGTGCTGTTTTTGGTAAGGCAGAACTGCAAAGACATCCCCAAGAGCATGTGGACATGGTTTGATTTGTATTTATTACTTTTCAGAGTCAGCAGCATCCTCTTCCTCCATGATGGGTCAAACCAGTTATTCAGCCTGACATCATTGCTGACGAAGATCCCATGGATGCTGATACGGTTGTCTTTTTTCTGCAGGAGGTAGCGCAGCTCCAAGTCCTGCAGGTCAGTTTCAAAGCCAATGTAATGGTCGGTGGAGTCTGGCACTTCGTTACGGCACACGCCTTGGCTCAGCATGAAACCCTGGTTGCAGGTGGCGCAGCGGGAACGGTTTTCATAGGAGCAGGATGCACATGAGGTACCATCCCCCACCGTGCAGGGGATCACACCTTGGCAGGGGTTATGCTCGTAGGGGCAGGAGCAGCTTCGGGTTTTCTCCAAGTAAGAGCCGATGTGGTTGTTTTCACTGCAGTACATGATGGAGAGGATGTAGTTCAGCCAGTAGCTAAAAGGCCTGAAACAGTAGCAGAGCAGTGGATTAGATTCACTACAATCCATGCACAGCTATTGCATCACAAATACTCAACCACTTCTCACACTGTCCAGAAACAAAATTAAATAACGTATTAGTGTGAAATGGCCACTCGCATGCTGTCTTACACAGAGACCGGACAACACTTTCATGGGTTAGGAAAACAAAATCAAATGAATCAAAGTTAATAAACAACTAATTTAATTAGTTTGGTTGTGTTTGTGATAATTAGGCTTCTTGTAAGACATTAAATTACATTAAAAAAAATAAAAACAAAATCAAAAATTGCAGAATTATAAACTGGAGTAATAAAAATGTGACATCTGTTTCACATTGAAAGACGTTGCCATAATGAGGATGAGCCTCATCCATTAAATTATGATGGTGCCCTTATAAAAAGAGATCTCTTCCTGTAAAACAGGAACATATTTTGAGGACACATCCTTCACACTGGAGTGCAGGCATGTAGCTATCAAACTAAATATGATTTACTGAGCTCATCTACAGCCTTCCATTGCATAAAATATGGAGCATCCTCGCAGCTAGCAAAATATTGTCATGAGTTTAAGATGGATGCTTCAATTTTGATTTAAACCATTCAAGTTGTGACGTTTCTCTTGTCTGCAGCCTGATCTGACAGTGTGGGGGTGGGAGTGGAGAGCGTCGTGGATGAGGATCAACAGTTCTTCACAACTCAGTATTGCTTCATAATCTCCTCATGCCTGCTAAGCAAGACTAATGTTGTGGAAATCCATTTGAATTCCCAAAAAGTTTAGAACAAATCTCTGTCAAAGTTATATTATGTTGGATTACAGAGCAGTTCTGTTTCAGATGTTAAAGAGGATTCAACGGCAAGTTAATGTGCCTTAAATGCAGTTGGAAATAAAAGATTTTCAGCATGTGCCTAAAAAAGTGAACCAAGAGAGGAAAGGTAAAAAAAAAAAAAAAAAATACAAATAAAAATCATTATGCCAACATGTTGATGCATCTTTGACACAGTGAACAATTTTAAACTTTAAATAATTTCACTGAGGTTTAGTCTTAAGCAATCTCACATTTAATTAAATCATGACAGGTTTTTTTTTTGTTTTTTTTTAAGAGCTGATATGTAATATGAAACAAACATTTGGATTATCTTGATGCATCTTCCTGTGTGACTTCCTACTAGTATTAAAACTCCTAATTAATTTACTTCCAGTGGTATATTTTGCTCAGCTATGTTGTTCACATGCCTGTCATGTGCTGCCGTAGTCTGTCAAAGCTCTGCAGCTTTTTTATTAGGGTTTTTTACAGTTTGACAAATGAAAATATTTCAAATCCATCCATCTTCCATCCATCCATCCATCCATCCATCCATCCATCCATCCATCCATCC